GGAGGGCAAAATAAAAGTTCCCACACAGCTGCACAGGCAACTACCGAGTGACCTAGGTCCACCCTCAAAAACAGCCAAAAGCGGAACAGCAGTTGGAGAAGAGCTGGAGGAGGGAGAGAGACGTACACAGTCTGAGAATCCCACAGGAGGCCCTACCAAGTCCGAACCAGGAATGGAACTAACTGCTGCTACAGCCACACAGGGCAAAATCCATAACAGGAAAGCGAGGCCAGAGGTGACGTTCGACCACCATGCACATCAGGCGAGAACTGAAGAGGTGAGCCGTGGGGGGATGGGAGGCGCTAATGAGTGTTATTTGGATAATGTGTTGCTTGTTTGTTTTGTTTTGGGGAGAGTTATTTTGCTTTGTTTGGATATAGGTTGCAATTGTAACCAGCTCGTGGTTTGTTTTGTTTCGCCTATCTTTCTGGGTGCCTTCCCCGGTTGATGGCAAGTATGACATACTCTAAATGTTGGGTGCTCATAGGCCATTGCTCCCTGTGCCTCTCTGAGGGAACCAGGTTCGGCTCATGCTTCTCGGTAGGCACAAGAATTCCTGTAGCTGATGACCCCAAACTAATATTGCACATGTCAGTTTGGATAGCTTCATAGAGCCAATGGAGCTCCCCACAGAAAGTTAAAGCTTAAGCTTCTAGTCTGTCGGCACTTTCAATCCCATCAAATAATGCCAGTGGTGGCGGAAATGGTTATGAAGCAAGCAAACTATAGTCAGCTGTGCAGAGGGTTTTTACAGCATAAAATTTCAACTAATATTTAAGCCAGTAAATATCAATGCAAACATTACGAAAACAGGCAAAATACATGAGTAAAAGTTAGATTTCATAAATCAAAGAAAAAATCTAATTACAGTATAGAGGAAATTGGTCCTAATTCTAGTCCAGTATAAAATAAATGGATAAAAAAATAAGTGAAAAGTGCACAACTGATATTAAAAGATAATCCATTAAAAATCATGAACTACTACTGCACATAGAGTGAACTACTGTACTGTACATCCTCTAAAGTAACAAGTACATCTTTACTCAGGTAAATACCTAGAAAAAGAAGAAACCAGTACTATACTGTATCAATAAAAATATTCAATATATTTCATTATTCACTTGCAACTACAAACACAAGGTAAATGTATCAACAGGTAACTAAGGAGCTGAAAGAGGTATGCAAATGTACATGTACAACACAGGACAATTGTAATGTAACCTGATAAACATATGCTGAGACTCTAAGTGTTAAGTGGAACTTATAGGAACTGTCGGTACACTTAAAATCTCGGCATTTGACCCACTGCATAACTCACTCCACCTGAACCACAAAATATTTTGTACTTTGTAGTGCTGCAGTTTTAGCAGCAAGACCTCTGAATGACCAGCACATCACTAAAAGATCAGAACTCTGAATGATTAGTGGAGCTGTGTATGACCACAAAACTTCTGAATTATCATAATCTCTAAATAACCAACAAATACCTGCAGATATTTGATAGACAACACACTGCAGTGTGATTGGCATACTTTTTGAGTAACTAATATATCAATGAAACATCAACAACTTCTAAACCACCAACAGACTCCTGAATGAGTGGCATACCTTGTGAATAAAGGAAAGGTGTTTAAAGAAATTACATATTTGGTAAGAAGCAGCAACAACTGGCAGATCTCTGAATGACTGACAGACCTCTGGATGGTCAGATGATTTCTCAAGTGACCAAAAGCTCTGACAACTGCCACATCTCGGAATGTCCAAACAACCAACAGAACCTCAATGAATTGCATGTGCAACTAGTGGGACCAGGTTCTTATGCCCATCATGGGTTGCATCAGTTTTGGCTAACAGTGTTAATCACAGGTTGACACATTGTCTTGGATTATGAAATAAATTATTATTCTAACTAAAAATAAAAATAAATACAGTATAATAAATTTTACTGCAATCATAAAATCACTTGATGCTTTGAGTTGGGTGGCAATTTATCATCCCTTTTAGATTAAAGGAACAGTTGAGTGTAGATAAATCAATACAAATTTGATGTGCTTCATTTTATAAACATTCTCCATGAGAAAATAGACCCTATGTGAACACTTTCACAAATACCACATCAATTCTTGTTTATAATACTGTATTTACAAATGATATTATACTGTATTTTATTTTAAAATGTATATCTTAAAACATGATCATCTTGACCCACTAATAGTGATATGGTTGCTTAATAGGACAGATGTATATGCAATAAAATGTATTGAGTCTGGTGATCATTGTCATTATGCATTAGGTTGAGAATGATCATAAATACACAGAAATAACAAAACTTATAATGAAGAAACTTAAGAGATTATGGTAAACGTTGGCCAATCAGAGGTTGCTGCATAACACGAACCATTAGAGGTTGTTGTGTGACATGAACAGTCAGAGGTTGTTGTGTAACATGAACAGTCAGAAGTTGTTGTTGTGTGACATGAACAGTCAGAGGTTGTTGTGTAACATGAACAGTAAGAGGTTGTTGTGAAACATGAACAGTCAGAAGTTGTTGTTGTGTGACATGAACAGTCAGAGGTTGCTGCATAACATGAACAGTCAGAGGTTGTTGTGTGACATGAACAGTCAGAGGTTGTTGTGTGACATGAACAGTCAGAGGTTGTTGTGTGACATGAACAGTCAGAGGTTGTTGTGTGACATGAACAGTCAGAGGTTGTTGTGTAACGTGAACAGTCAGAGGTTGTTGTGTAACGTGAACAGTCAGAGGTTGTTGTGTAACGTGAACAGTCAGAGGTTGTTGTGTAACATGAACAGTCAGAGGTTGTTGTGTAACATGAACAGTAAGAGGTTGTTGTGTGACATGAACAGTCAGAGGTTGTTGTGTGACATGAACAGTCAGAGGTTGTTGTGAAACATGAACAGTCAGAAGTTGTTGTTGTGTGACATGAACAGTCAGAGGTTGTTGTGTGACGTGAACAGTCAGAGGTTGTTGTGTGACATGAACAGTCAGAAGTTGTTGTTGTGTGACATGAACAGTCAGAAGTTGTTGTTGTGTGACATGAACAGTCAGAGGTTGTTGTGTAACATGAACAGTAAGAGGTTGTTGTGAAACATGAACAGTCAGAAGTTGTTGTTGTGTGACATGAACAGTCAGAGGTTGCTGCATAACATGAACAGTCAGAGGTTGTTGTGTGACATGAACAGTCAGAGGTTGTTGTGTGACATGAACAGTCAGAGGTTGTTGTGTGACATGAACAGTCTGAGGTTGTTGTGTGACATGAACAGTCAGAGGTTGTTGTGTGACATGAACAGTCAGAGGTTGTTGTGTGACATGAACAGTCAGAGGTTGTTGTGTGACATGAACAGTCAGAGGTTGTTGTGTGACATGAACAGTCAGAGGTTGTTGTGTGACATGAACAGTCAGAGGTTGTTGTGTAACGTGAACAGTCAGAGGTTGTTGTGTAACGTGAACAGTCAGAGGTTGTTGTGTAACATGAACAGTCAGAGGTTGTTGTGTAACATGAACAGTCAGAGGTTGTTGTGTAACATGAACAGTCAGAGGTTGTTGTGTAACGTGAACAGTCAGAGGTTGTTGTGTAACATGAACAGTAAGAGGTTGTTGTGTAACGTGAACAGTCAGAGGTTGTTGTGTAACGTGAACAGTCAGAGGTTGTTGTGTAACATGAACAGTCAGAGGTTGTTGTGTAACATGAACAGTAAGAGGTTGTTGTGTAACGTGAACAGTCAGAGGTTGTTGTGTGACATGAACAGTCAGAGGTTGTTGTGTAACATGAACAGTCAGAGGTTGTTGTGTGACATGAACAGTCAGAGGTTGTTGTGTGACATGAACAGTCAGAGGTTGTTGTGTGACATGAACAGTCAGAGGTTGTTGTGAAACATGAACAGTCAGAAGTTGTTGTTGTGTGACATGAACAGTCAGAGGTTGTTGTGTGACGTGAACAGTCAGAGGTTGTTGTGTGACATGAACAGTCAGAAGTTGTTGTTGTGTGACATGAACAGTCAGAAGTTGTTGTTGTGTGACATGAACAGTCAGAGGTTGTTGTTGTGTGACATGAACAGTCAGAAGTTGTTGTGTAACATGAACAGTCAGAGGTTGTTGTGTGACATGAACAGTCAGAGGTTGTTGTGTGACATGAACAGTCAGAGGTTGTTGTGTGACATGAACAGTCAGAGGTTGTTGTGTAACGTGAACAGTCAGAGGTTGTTGTGTGACATGAACAGTCAGAGGTTGTTGTGTGACATGAACAGTCAGAGGTTGTTGTGTGACATGAACAGTCAGAGGTTGTTGTGTAACATGAACAGTCAGAGGTTGTTGTGTGACATGAACAGTCAGAGGTTGTTGTGAAACATGAACAGTCAGAAGTTGTTGTTGTGTGACATGAACAGTAAGAGGTTGTTGTGTGACGTGAACAGTCAGAGGTTGTTGTGTGACATGAACAGTCAGAGGTTGTTGTGTGACATGAACAGTCAGAGGTTGTTGTGTGACATGAACAGTCAGAAGTTGTTGTGTAACATGAACAGTCAGAGGTTGTTGTGTGACATGAACAGTCAGAGGTTGTTGTGTGACATGAACAGTCAGAAGTTGTTGTTGTGTGACATGAACAGTCAGAAGTTGTTGTTGTGTGACATGAACAGTCAGAGGTTGTTGTTGTGTGACATGAACAGTCAGAGGTTGTTGTGTGACATGAACAGTCAGAGGTTGTTGTTGTGTGACATGAACAGTCAGAAGTTGTTGTGTAACGTGAACAGTCAGAGGTTGTTGTGTGACATGAACAGTCAGAAGTTGTTGTTGTGTGACATGAACAGTCAGAGGTTGTTGTGTGACATGAACAGTCAGAGGTTGTTGTGTGACATGAACAGTCAGAGGTTGTTGTGTGACATGAACAGTCAGAGGTTGTTGTGTGACATGAACAGTGAGAAGTTGTTGTGTGACATGAACAGTCAGAGGTGGTTGTGTGACATGAACAGTGAGAAGTTGTTGTGTAACATGAAGAGAAGAACAGTTAACTATATCTCACATCCTTCTGGAACTGAACATTGCAACTGCCACATACACCAGAAAACTGGGTGAAAGTTACTGGAAAACACATAATTCAAGTTAATTATCTAAAGTTATGGAAGTGATGGTGGGTTACAGGCAGTCTTATCCTGAAGCTTTTTTTTTTGTATTTTCTTGCCAAAAATATAAAAGATTACTCCAATAATCATACATCACCATAGAAATTGGTGTGTCATTCAGAAAAATAATTTGTTTCAATTGTCAAGTATTGATAACATATGACAATTGCAAATGTATAATTTTACATGCATAGTTTTCAAGCAAATCAAGATGAACATATGGCAAGACATAATGAATTTTAAGACTGAATAATAAACTATCATGGTACTGTATTTAACCATATAAACTCTCTTCTCTGATATACTCGTTTTTGTGATTAGATTATCATCAGCCTTGCCATAATTCCTTCATGTGCACTTATTGAATCACTTATACTTATTTACAATTCAAGTCTTGCAAGGAACATGATATGAAAGTTTATTTTCACTACTTACTCTGGTTACCTAAAAATAAAAACAAATGCTACATAAGGTATAAGAAAAGGGCTAAATAACATTAAAAGATTCATCTGAGTTGCGTCAAAACCATTGTACATTAAACCCTGAGAAAACCTATAAGAATGAGGCTCAGTTAAGTCACATGTTGTCGCAACTGTTTACAGGAGCGGGAGTGGCCGACCAATAATATCCTGTTAGGGCAAAAGGCAGCTTGAACATACTGTATTTTACATGACTCGATTATAAAGACTACAATATCCAAAGCATTTATTAAAGTATTTTCAGGATATAAGACAATACCAGTTAAAAGTTGATTGATGATTTTCCAGTTGTCTTTTGCCTGCTAAAGATATTTTACAATTGATATTATAGAATACCAAGACAAATTATCCACAGCATGTTCCCCCTGCTTGTGCCTGTGGGTCTGTGGCACCCCTGACACTGCTCAAGCAGGATTCATGCTAGCATGTTCCCCTGTTTGTGCATGTGGGTCTGTGGCACCCCTGACACTGCTCAAGCAGGATTCATGCTAGCATGTTCCCCTGCTTGTGCATGTGGGTCTGTGGCACCCCTGACACTGCTCAAGCAGGATTCATGCTAGCATGTTCCCCTGCTTGTGCATGTGGGTCAGGGCACCCCTGACACTCAAGCAGGATTCATGCTAGCATGTTCCCCTGCTTGTGCATGTGGGTCTGTGGCACCCCTGACACTGCTCAAGCAGGATTCATGCTACACAAGTTACTTGGAATATTTTGTGTGAAAATAATATTAAATCATCTGACTTAGTGGACATTTTCTGCCAACATTTTTGAAGGTGAGGTGCTCTTATGCTGTGGCCCCACCTTATGACTTGACTTGATGATTAAACAGTATCAACACTTTTTTTGCTAATACATATTTTACCAATTCAGTAATTATATATGTAAGTATTATGTCAACATGATATAAATTAAGCCTTAAATACTTCAGTTAGAAAGTTGCCCTAAAGATCATAATATCCTTTTAAAACTTCAATTCCAAATTCTTAAAGTAGCCACTTAAGTACTATTATGAAGCTAATTGAGTGTCTCTTGCATATAAAATACAATATTAGTAGATTATTCATGCTTTTACTCAAGTGGTAGTTAAGAATATGGTTCTAGAATGAGATGAGTATAAAATGAGGGCAAGCATTTGGACAACCACTGTACTTAAACAACTACTAAAACTTATTATATTGGTTAGTGGTTTTCTTGTTTATAGGCGCATGGCCAACCACACACCACAGCTGGGAAATATTAGCCAGTTCTGCCACTCAACTTCTCTCTATTATTTTCATTACAATATTCTCATGAATTATTATAAAGATTTTTTAGAACATATATCAACAATTTTATGCAATAAAAAATGAGATTAATTACTGTATTGGGAAGCTTCCGTGGAGCATGCAGGTGGCAATCCTCCCAGCTGGAGAGTACAAGTTGGTCCAGGTTTATAAAGGTCCAAGTTTATAAATTTATGAAAGGGGTTTATAAGACAATAGAGCAGAGGTTATCAGCAAATTCATTATTTACAATGTTGAGTACACTTGTGATGGGCCGACAATATGGATATGTTGCTGAACTTAAGGCTTCGTAATATAATGTGAATCTTTGTTAGTCATAATGTTGTGAAGTGATTCCCTGGTGTGACATGATTCTATAGTGCACCAAATGTGGAGGCTATATTATGATATGACCGCTTCTGTGATGTGTATGATGGTGTGTCAAAGCCAGCAATATGAAATTATAATTTGACATCATTACCTACAGTATGGCACAAGTAGTGTTGTGACATACCTGACAGAATGATCAAACTGCTAGTGCAATGTGACAGATGGTTTAATGTAAGTACTGTATTGCATTACTGGCAATATGACTTAACTCATGTTATCATGTGACTATAAGTGTATTCAATTATGGTTGCAATGAAATGATACAGAATGTCGTATGACTAGCTGCATGACATGGCTGGTGTGATATGATTGGTAAAAATGACATGACAAATGTGACAACTGGTAACTGTATTGTGACATAGAGACCTGACTTGGTAGTTTATGCTACCAAGCCAATGGGGCTGTCATACTCAACCCACTCACTATTTTAATGTACAAATATCAAAGCTAAGCATAAAAAACTACAGCACTTTACAAGCCCACATCATTGACTTGCATTTATTTAAAAATTTTGATCAATGTTGGTAATTTCTGCTCAACTGTTATAAACACCCAATTTCTAAGACTTTAAACATCATTGGTATTAAGCCTGTTGCCTCTACATCTACAGACTTACAGTCTATGCACTCTTACACACACTAATCTACCATTTGATGTGAGTAGCTATTTTTACTCTTAGCTGGGGCTTCACTGAACGTCGTAGTTTTTTCTCTGAAATTCCATCTAAGGTATGATAACTTCCCATTGGGCCACGTTTAGAATCAGGTACAGAGAACGAGGTAAGCCAAAGTCACGTCACACAAATAATTTATGGCCGAATTGCCATCACTAGGCTGTTCTCTCATTTTCATTATATTTTTCAACAGTGAAGCCATTTTAACTAAAAGTAAAGCAACATTTTATAAAAAGAGTCCAGATGTGTCAAGATCAGTCATTGCTAAGCACTTGGTCATCATATTTCCAACAATCTGTTGCTTTTATTACCAAACATTTTAAGATAAATGATGTCCTTTCATGTAGCAGCTGATCCCATTTCACAGAGGACACACATTATTTACAGGTCTGGGCCATCATGACACTAACACTCTAGCTCCAGTGTAGTCTAGTATAGTCCTTCGACTTGGAATATATATCCGAATTCTTTCGGATTGGAATATATCATGGCAGAAGGAATCTCACATGCAACATTGTCCTCCTGGTGACTGCGGTGTGTGCACATGCACAATAGTGAACAGGTAACTTCCTCATTTTAGGATACACCTCCAACGGAGTACAAAAGTCATCTGTTACGGACCTGAGAAATTATTTACTAACATGGCTGATCAGCAGCAGGTTATGTAATTTATATATAACAAGATTATAACAATGAGCATTAAGACCCTGGAAAGAATTTCTTTACGATTTGCAGCGGTACTCGAGCACACTTGTGGATTACTGCTGAGCTCAATACTGTTTTATAGGCATTTCTGGTTACTTTAAAGATTTATAAAGTTAAACCAACAAATTAACTGACAGGATTTTCCACATTGAGCATTAAACAGTATTTATCTGGGTTTTCAGTACTCTACAAATATGAAACACTGCAATACCATCTTCAGCTCATAGTAAACGATCTGGTCAGAAATATAAATTGGGGATAAAAAGGAAGTCTGCGTTTTGCTCTGGAGCATCTTTGTCAAACTAATGGCTTAAAAACATTTACCCGTATTATGTGGTGCAACTCATGACTATCATGCAAGGTACTGGCTGATACAATGCAAAAAATCTAGCTGGTAGTTTGGCATACATAGGAACAAGGCAGAGCAGTTAAACCCCAAACTCATACACTTAATAAATATTATCCTGATTTTTTAGTTTACATGACAATGATTTCAGAAACTGAACTAAACATGTCATTTCACTATTTCTTAAATTAAAAACCTAAATGATAATTACATTCTCATTACAGGTAGCATATGCCCACTATATTTCTGGGCTTGGGAGGTAATCACCTCACACTATAACTCCAGATAACATGGATTCATATTTGAATCTCATTATAAATACAAAATTGTTACAAGTACCAATTAACCCTGAACTAAAAAAAATTCACACATATTCAACTGATCAGTTGCAAAATACAGTCCAAAGGGACTGCACATATATATTATAATTATGCAACTTAACTAGATAATGTAACTAGAACTAGCACTGAGAGTAAAGCACTTTTATGGGAAGCTAAGCACATGCTCTCACTTGTCTCACAACTACTTTTCTCACATACTTCATAGTCAAGAAAAATATTTTAGCTTCCAATCTACTATGAGTTGCTGAATATTTGAAGAAGAGTATTATATTCAAATATTCCTCTTACAAAAATCTTTAAGGAGTAAATTCTGCACAAGGTGCACCGTGATACAGGTGGGTATACAGAACACTTAGCTATGGGCAGGCATTACAGGTGTTCAAAGTCATATACAAAAACAAAGCTGAAGGAAGCAATACACAATAAAGTGGCCCCAAGTACTGAGGTCACTGGCATGTGATGGTTGCCTACAGGTGGTGGCTGCAAGCTTGTTTGAGGTGATGGACAAGTAGTGTGTATTCCAAATGTTCTTAAATGCTAATACATACTGTCATTAACTTTTACTTTGCATTTTGCTTTTCAGAGACAAATTTTGACTGATGTCAAATGAACCTTGGAAAATGTGTCATCACCTACACATAACTGATTATCTTTACACACAACTAGTAGTGGGAGGTGGTGCGTGTTGTAGTTTCCCACGCCTTGACCACAATGGAGGCAGCCCATGGGACCGTCAGGCTGTCATGGGAGCTTGAGATGATGGGGTTGAAGAACCAGAATGAGCAGACAGATCATAGCCAGAGTTTCGAGGAGCACCACCCTCTGGACGTTTCTGCCTATGAGGATCTGAAAGCCATATTTCTTTGAATAATACTAGCTCTCCAAAAATCATTTTAGTCTATATTTATTAGATGAAAAAATGTGTAAGTGCATACAAGATCATATTTGAGAACCAATTGAGCAATAAATATGAAACTAACCGGTTTTCATGTGGATAACCCAGAGTGTAGCTGTCAGACAAACTCCAATCACAAAGGAAGCAAGTGCAATACCCACAACAATCTCAGTTGAAAGTCCACCAAGTACGATGATCTGGGTTTTATCATCAGTGGCACTAGTCCCTGCTGAGCTGCCGCCGACTCCATTGCTGGTACTCACAACACTTTGTGACAAAGGAGCTAAAAAGAAAATAATTACCAATTACAATTTTCACACAAAAACAGCATTCTTGACCGCCTAAATCTGGAAGGTGGATATTGCACCAGTCTTGGGAGTGACCATTGACAGTCATGTTGTGTACAGAATAACTACATATCATGTTAACAATGAGACAAGGTCAGGGGCCAGATTCGGGACAGGATTCACATGGCTGCACCCTGGATATTGTGCTTTCAAGGGTCTTCCTGTATATATACCGCGATTACAGGAAATATTGCTATTTGCCTCCCTTTTGGCCTACAGTAACAGCAAAGATTAATCTGGTACTGAATTCTTGCTTTCTTGCCACTTTGCCTATCAACCTAATTTATGCAGAGTTGGCCTTGTGTTGATTAGACTTACAGTGGTACCTCGGAATGCGAGTGTCCCTGTATGCGAGTTCTTCAGAATACGAGCAGGATTTCCTCGGAAAATATGTCTTGGAACGCGTACAGGCCGACCTAGCGCGTGGTGGTTCGGCGATCGTCGCCCCTCCGCCCCTCAGTTTACCATTGTCTCGCGCCCAGTGACTACCCCACATCAATTCTTCTCGTGGATTTTCAGTGTTTTGTTGGATTTTTGGTGATTTGACTATACAATTTGTTATCATATATCTCACCATGGGTCCCAAGAAAGCCAGTGGTAAGGATAAAGGCCAGAAAGCCCATGTGAGGATGACAATAGAGGAGAAACAAGAGATCATTCGAAAGCATGAGATCGGTACACGTGTTGTTGAACTTTGTAGGCAGTACAACAAAGCCACATCAACAATATGCACTATACTTAAGAAGAAAAATGAGATTATGAGTGCTAAAGTGGCAAAAGGAGTAAGAACAATAACGAAACAAAGACCACAAATACTTGAAGAAGTGGAAAAGTTGTTATTAATTTGGATACACGACAAGGAGTTAAGGGGTGATAGTGTTTCGGAGGCCATTATTTGTGAGAAAGCCAGGGTATTGCACGAAGACCTTCTAAAGAATACCCTTGCAACGAGTGATGCAGATACGAAAGAGTTTAAGGCAAGCAGGGGCTGGTTTGAAAAATTTAGGAGAAGTGGTATCCATAGTGTTACAAGGCATGGGGAGGCAGCCAGCTCAGACAAACCAGCCGCCGGACGATTTATTGAGGAATTTAAAGAGTTTGCAGAGGCTGAGGAATACCTACCGCAACAAGTGTTTAATTGTGACGAAACAGGACTGTTTAGGAAAAGAATGCCTAAGAGGACATACATTACCAAGGAGGAAAAATCCTTGCCCGGACACAAGCCTATGAAAGATAGGGTTACGCTTGTGTTGTGTTCAAATGCGAGTGGCGATTTGAAAATTAAACCCTTGCTAGTGTATCATTCTGAAAATCCAAGGGTTTTCAAACAGTATAAAGTGCAGAAAACCCATTTGTGTGTGATGTGGAAGGCTAATAAAAAAGCATGGGTGACTAGGCTTATTTTTTTGGAGTGGGTGAATGAAGTGCTGTGCCCTGCCATAGAAAAATATCTGCAGGAGAAACATTTGCCACTCAAAGCCGTGCTTCTCCTCGACAATGCTCCTGCTCATCCTCCAGGCTTGGAAGATGATTTGTTGCCCAGGTACAATAAATTCCTCACAGTTAAATTCCTTCCTCCTAACACCACTCCTCTAATTCAGCCTATGGACCAGAAAATCATAGCGAATTTTAAGAAACTTTATGAAAGGGTACTTTTCCGGAAATGTTTTGAAGTGACTGAAGCCACAAACCTCACCCTCAAAGAGTTCTGGAAACACCATTTTAACATTTGTAGTGCTTTAAAACTCGTTGACAAAGCCTGGCAAGAAGTGACTCAAAGAACCCTGATCTCTGGCTGGAGAAAATTGTGGCCTGAATGTGTGAGAGAACTAGATTTTGAGGGGTTTGAGCCTGTAAATGATGCGCCTATTGTTGAGGAAATTGTTACTCTAGGCCAGCAAATGGGCATGGAATTGGATGGTGATGATGTGGAGGAGTTGGTGGAAGAACACAACGAAGAACTGACCACCGAAGAACTCCAAGCCCTTCAACAGGAACAGCAAGACAACACAGTGGATGATTCTACAGTGGAGGAGGATGAGGCAGTAGCGAATGTCCCTTCTGCAGTAATTAAGAAGGTGTGTCAGATGTGGGAAGAGATTCAGACAATTGTTGAAAAGACTCACCCAGAGAAAGCTGTAGTAGGCCGTAGCCTTAATCTTTTCAATGACAATGTGATGCCTTACTACAGACACAGCTTGCGAAGAAGGGAGAAGCAAGCTTCCATGGACAGATTTGTGGTGAGGAAATCGAGCAGTGAGCCTCAACCAGGACTTAGTGGCACTCAGATGAAACGTCCCAGGGAGAGCACACCAGAAAGGTCCTCACTGCCTGATGTGATAATAGAAGGGGACTCCCCTTCCAAACAGTAACTCTTCTCCTCCTTCCCCCTCCTCACCATCTTCCATACGCCTACGGCATTCAACAGCAAGGTAAGTAATAACTTGAACATAGTTTCGTAGGTTTATTTAGATGAATTAGGTATAAAAATTTAGTTTGATGTGGGGTTTTTGGGGTAATCAGGAACGGATTAATTCATTTCCCATTATTTCTTATGGGGAAATTAGCTTCGGAATACGAGTTTTCGGAATACGAGGCATCTCCAGGAACCAATTAAACTCTTAAACTGAGGTATGCCTGTATTTGGCATATACAGTAAGGTGTCAATTACTGAAATATTGGTTTCTCGCAAGGAACCAGAAGCCTGAACTTAGGCTTATCGAGGTTCTCCTTGGACAACAACTGACCTTGCCAGTAAACCCCACAACATTTGTTTAACTGCTGGGTACCTATTTACTGCCAGGTAAACAGGTGCATCAAGTGAAAAGAAACATCTGGGCACTCTCCTGCCAGAGAATTGAAGCTGGTACCATTGGTTATGAGCAAATGACACAGGCTGTTAATATTTTAGGTCTTTGCATCCAGCCTCCTAGCTGTTTATATCCGACATATTAATTATCTCTCTTAACATTAGTATTTCATTATATTTTTTTTAACATCAGAAGAGGGTATGATAGATCAAATTCAGGTAGGAGTAAAGCTAACCCCCCCCTCAAGTGATCACCATATTTTGAAATGGACTACGAATATAGAAATCAGCATAAAGGTAAATGATGATGAATTTCTAGACTACCATTAACCCTTAAAGTGCGCATCACGTCATATGACGTGCTGGACGTTGTACCAGTAAACTGCGCATCACGTCATATGATGTGTTGGAGTACTACGCAAGATTTAAACAGCCCGCGGATACACGGGGTTCACCACACCTTCATCAGGGCTCTTGTAAACAGACGCCATTTTTAAAAAAAATCGTGGGCCAAACTCCCGGGTGTTATTGCCTCAGTATTGAGTGAGCAACCAAGCCTGATGCACGCAGCATGAGCTAACAGCACTGCTGTTCAGCTTGTGACCACAGCATCGCCTATAAATGCCAAATTATACTTGTTCATGCTATTATGTAGTGATGATATTATTACAGAAGACCCCTGACTGTGATAAAACTGACCAGGGTTCTGATAATAGCAGGATTGTGGTGATATTTAGCGCTGTGCGCCATGGAAGGAGGTGTAATGCTGTGGGAGGGAGGGTGGTGGCGATGTCTTTTGACTGTGTGTGGCCACCTTTTATTGACTGCACTCACCATACCAGCTTAGTGGTTCGCTATGGTGAACACAAATGTAGATACTTATATATAACGTGCGTATAGAGGGTATAAACAGCAAGAGAAGGTTTGGAGCCGCCATTTTGGTGAGAGCGGTGGCGTCGTCTGCACGACACCACTGTGCAGACGACGGTGTTGTTTACTGGTTACCACGATGGTCTTTGGGCACCATACCAGTTTATTTGTACAAGTATGATGAATAAAACAGGTAGATATTTATATATAATGTGTGTATATAGCGTAATAACACCACACAGTGTTGTTGGAGGAGAAATATTAGTGCGTCTGGCCTTGAGGGCGGCCGCCGATCAGCTGACTGTGTGAGTAGCCACATCTCTGTGCCTTTACTCACCATACATGCTTAGATGTACAGTTATGGTGAACAAAACATGTAGATACTTATATATAACGTCTGTATATAAGATATATAGCGTAATAACACCACACAGTGTTGTTGGAGGAGAAATATTAGTGCGTCTGGCCTTGAGGGCGGCCGCCGATCAGCTGACTGTGTGAGTAGCCACATCTCTGTGCCTTTACTCACCATACAAGCTTAGATGTACAGTTATGGTGAACAAAACATGTAGATACTTATATATAATGTCTGTATAGGAGAAATATTAGTGCGTCTGACCTTGAGGGTGGCCGCCGATCAGCTGACTGTGTGAGTAGCCACATCTCTGTGCCTTTACTCACCATACAAGCTTAGATGTACAGTTATGGTGAACAAAACATGTAGATACTTATATATAATGTCTGTAGTGAATTATAGCAAAAACATTATTGTGGGAGGAGAATGAGGGTGAGTCAGATGACTGGAGGGAGGTCGGGAGTGGCTGGCTGGTACACGGCGGTCAATCCTCATTACTTTTTGACTCATAATAGCTACTTAGTGGTTCGTTATAGTGAACAAAACATGCAAATACTTATATATAACCTGTGCTTATAGTGTAATAACCGACAAAGTATTTGTTCACTGATTGATGAACATAATTGAATCAACAATATGCACACCATATTTTTGAGTACACCAACGATTCACTCATTTTATTATATAAATATATCAAACTACACACTATTGAATAATATTACAGCAAAAAAAGTATGAAAAATCAATCAGAGACATTGAAATAATTCGGTAATTATCTCTTTGTGGCAACTCTGGCCTGACAGCTTGCGAGCAACAGACCGCCTGTGACGCACTCTGAGTCAGCGCCTATAATTTGCCAGACTTCCCCGCCCTATAGCGGGCAATATATGCCACTTACGATT